ACCAGTACCATTCCCGTTGAATATTAGAGTTATGTGAAACATTGCATCTTATTTTATTGTAAACATGCCAGTTATTACCTTAAAATATTTTACTTGCCGTTATTTATGAAAAGTTCTAGCACTAAGAACAATCCTTACATTATCATTGTCACATAGACACTGATCTAAAAAAGTAAATGTGGGACATACATTTTCACCACAGCAGAACAGATCAAAGCTTTTACTTTTAATAATTCATAGGCCTTATTTAGAATATTAAAGGCACAAATATATAGACGACGCATTTTTAAATTGTAATCTAATTCATGTATGAATAGCGTCTGCTTTTAATTCACAAAATTAATTATGAAATTGTTCCTCTTTGTTTATTGTTATTTTTTATTTAGTACAACAATTTATTATAATATTATATTTTAAAATAAAGTTATTTAATTGTTCACTGGGTTTGGATTATTTAGCACAATTAAAACGAAAATGAATTAAAATGTTTGCATTTATTTCTACCAAAATAGAGTGAAATTTTGATAGTGAACGATAGCGAAAACTCGGAACCGGCTGGCGATAAGGAACAACTTTCTCCAGGGAACATAGGTCGAAATACGAAAAAAGAATTCGAAATCCCATACAAAATTGACGATCGAATTGAGTTACTATGGGAGGACTAATTATTTTTTCATGTTTCGACCAATGTTCCTTGGAGAAAGGGTTCTTGCTATCGGTCACTAGCAAAATTGTACCCAGTATACTACTGTTATGGTGCTAGAATTTATCGACGAGTTGTAAGATGTGCTGCTGCTCTTGCTGTCGCCACTCCTCGCTGCCCGCGTCGCCGAGGTTACCCGCGTACTCTGCAGGGAAACACGAACATTTCATTTCAACATACGGACATATATCACGCCTATATCCCATGCGGGGTAGGCAGAGCGTAAACGGCTTTAAAAAACGGCCATTTACACCACGTCTGACAAAACTTAAAGAGTCGTTCAGAAGACTGTGCATCACCGTAGTGACTTGTTGTCAGCCTGTCGTATTATTTTGGTATTATTTCTATCAAGCACGCAAAATGATACGTCTGCTGACGTTTTGCGTCTTTGACATTTTGCGACTTTGATCAGATCGTGTTGACTCGTTTTTTTGCTCGACTGCTTCAGACGCAAGGTAATGTTTTTATAAAGCTCCTTTGTATGTGGTAGTACAATCGCGAAAATACCCAATCGTTCAAGGTTACCTCTCATGACGTGTCGGATGATCTTGAGCGAGCCTCCGCGCAGGGACAGCACTCGCTGCACGCGCTGCTTGATCGCGGGCGGGCCCGCTGTGCACACCTAAACGTACATAAAACAAACATCGAATCTTTAGGGCAGAACATACTAGTAACCGATAGCGAAAACTCAGAACCAGCTAGTGATAAGGAACAACTTTCCCCGAGGAACATAGGTCGAAACACGAAAAAAAAATTTGGACCTCCCATACAAACTTGCCGATCAGCTGATTTCAGTTTCTTCAACCTATGCTCCTTGGTGAAAATTGTTCCGTGTCACTAGCCGGTTCTGAGTTTTCTCTATCGGTCTCTAAAATTTCACCGTATATGGGCCATATCGCGGTACGCGCGTGATGACGTGCACGCATACGTAGGCGGTGTGCTCTGCGATTTAACGATTGGACGTCGCAACTTTATTTTTATGTTTAGTTAGAATCTTAACATACGGTGGGACCAAAAGCAACATTTTGCGAAAGCAACACTTTGCGAAAGCGACTTTATGCGAAAGCGACATTATGCGAAAGCGTCATTTTGCGAAAACGACATTCTGCGATGAGTATACGTTTTGCGAATCGTACATTATGCGTCTAAAGGCACTAAGCAAGTAGCCCCGCCCGTAGCAGCCGCATGCTTGCTGTGAACCCGTATATTCATTCTAACACTAATATGTAAAAGAAACTTACTTCCAAAATTATTCTGTCGATTAGTTGCAATGTGAAAAGGCCGCCCGACAGTCGCCTTAAATATTGCGCGTCGTCGTCCATTTCCTCAGTCTCTTGCTATAAACAACACCAAAATAGAACATTTTAGCACTGCGAATCTAACGACGAGTTCTATCATGACTAGTGCTGCTACGCGATAGTATCGATTAACTACAGAATAAGCGATTATGGAGTACGGGAAATAAATTCTCATAAATTCCACTCCGCTTTCGACAGATATCAAGAGCGAGTAAGAAAATGAATTCATGATGATGTAGAAGAGAAGGATACATGTGTCCTCTTACGAGTGGGGGGTTTAGCGCTGTCACTTTCCATTAAATAGGTTTAGAAAAGCTGGGAAGTTATCTTAGCCATGTCATTAAATTACAAGACATGACTCATGTCAATTTGACATATAGTGCGCGTTATCTCTCAACATAAGGCTCGGGGCGACGATAAAAACAAAAGCGACTAAATTGACTATAAGGCCGGCCGCACACGTCCGGAATGCTAGCCCGGATTCCGGATCCAGTTTCCTGATCCGGGTTCCGGAGTCTTATATTTTTCATACAAAATGTTTTAACTGGTGCACACGTCTGGTTCGTTTCCCGTCCGGATTCCGTTCCGGTCGTGTGCGCCAGTTAGAACATTTTGTCACACAATGAACATTTGAATCCGGGCTAGCATTCCGGACGTGTGCGCCCAGCCTAAATCGTCAAATAACATTGACATATTCAAACATGACAGGACTTAGATATCTCCTATCCTTTTCTAAACCTATTTTACGCAAAGTGACAGCGCTAATTTAATGTCAGTTAAGAGCATTTATTGTATTGCACTTGACGATAGTATTTCTACAGTTTGAACTATCCATAGTGTAGGGTTTTTCGAATGTAAACTATCGAAAGCAGGACTATCTATTGTCCGACAACACTATTTATGACAATGTTGTTCTGTTACCTCCATTTCCTTCTCGGTTCGGTCAACTTTGTCCATGTATTTGAAATGCAACTCGAGTAACCGATCCACTTTTTCCAGGTCGTTTTCAGTGAACTTCGCAAGCAGCCGCTGCCTCTGACTGCCTTGGCAGTTGCGCAGCATTGATGCTACGATTGATACTACATGCTCTGAAAAAAAAAAACGTGTTATTCCATTAAAGCGTCTAAAATCGCAACCGAAAAATAACGTTGTTTTAATCTGATTTCATAAAGATACAGAAAGGGATTATAAAAGGCGGCCTAAGGCTATTTTACATACGCCAGGCGGCGTTTATACTTTCCCCCTCCTACTCAATTATACACGTATTCAGTTGATATGTCGGAGGTTTGTATCAATTAGGTTTTTGATACGTTGTGGACACACATAACGATAAGTGCACATCAGAGTACCACAGGGAATAGGTAAAAAAACAGTCAAGACCGAGCATACCTTTTTTTAGGGTTTCGTAGTCTACTAGAAACCCTTATAGTTTCGTCATGTCTGTCTGTCTGTCTGTCTGTCTGTCTGTCTGTCTGTCTGTATGCCGCGCCCTCATATCTTCGTCAGTTTTAGAGCTATCGACATGAAATTTGGTGAGAAGATAGATCGTGTTGACCCAAATATAGAAATGTTAAGAAAAAAATATTTAAAATGTTTTTTGGACCCCCTCCCATACAAGTGAAAGGGGGGCAAAAAAAATTTTTTTCTTCTGTAATATTGAGTAGGGTATCGTTGAATAGGTCTTTTAAAATTAAGGTGAGATTTCTTTGAAACAAATTCTCTAAAATGTTTCTGTCACGAGATATTTGCTTTTAAAAAGGGCGTTTTTGACCCATAATTTGTTCCAGCTGTAACTTCTAAAGTATAAACGCTAAAAATTTGAAATAAATATGGAATATAGCTTACAATCTGAAGTTACAATGAAAACTATAACGGATATCGTACCCTTGAAGGTTTCAGGAAAAATTGAGTTTTTCTATTTGCGGTTGGTCATCATACTGCTGCTAACAAACCAGCAACAAAATTAAGTTTGTAATGCTGAAAAACCTGATATTTAAACGTTGACTACGAAACCCTATTTGTGGGCGTGTCTGACACGCTCTTGGCCGGTTTTTAATAATTGAGTCAACAAGAAAACTTCCCTCTTACAGATCAATCCAATAGATGGCGCTATTTGGTTTTTAAAACGCGCTATAGAAGTGTTATAAAATGTTTATACATACACAACACATTTTTGCAAACTAGGATGTAAAACTATAAGAATTTCAAATTTTTGAAATTTTTAGCTAATGCCAGCTAAAAATACACATTTCTGTGCCATCATCAAGCTTCAGGTACGAACTCCACAGAGAAGACATGCGACGTGGACGTAAGATGATATCTGTCAGACAAGTGATCCTCATAAATTGCATGATATAATAAGATACTCCGCCTGGTATTTCTTTCCGAGACTCGTGAACCACGTGACCAACACAAGACTACGTCATCATGCTTGTGGGTTACCAGAATTACCCACTCTTATGATGTTTTTTGTAAATCATATAAGATACTGTTAACTAATAAATAAAATTTAAGTGTTGCTGTAAAGTTAAAGTTAATACACACGTAAATCTAAATTATAAAATTATTAAGAAATATTTTAACCCAATGTTCTGAGATTGAATTTACCCCATAACGTATTTTATTGAAATAAAGTGGCAATACTAAGTGACGTTGACTTGTGTTTCTCTGGGAAGGAAAGACCATGTTTTATTAGACTATGATAAATTGAAAATGAGAAAATTGAAAAATTCACCAGCAACCGCCGGGACTTGAACCAGGGACTGTGGATCACCGTTCCACTGCTCTGCCAACTGAGCTACGGGCGCCTAGCGGACCCTGGTGCATTTCTCAACCTTTTGATGCTCGTCTCGAAGCGACATCTTGTAGTAGTTTTTACAACTAAATACTTAGGTTAGTCTACGTTCAGTAGGAATTCAAACCATATGATGAAGCTTTTTGCTTAAACCAATTATCACGACGAGCATCAAAAGGTTGAGAAATTCACCAGGGTCCGCTAGGCGCCCGTAACTCAGTTGGCAGAGCGGTGGAACGGTGATCCACAGTCCCGGGTTCAAGTCCCGGCGGATACTGGTGAATTTTTAAATTTTTCTATTTATGAGAATAATATAGCGCTGTGTGTGCATGAAAAATTCGAATACAAGTGATCGTCAGCAGCGTGCGTGTATGCGGGTCTCTTCTGTTTTATATGGAAACGGTTACAAGCGTCGCGATGTCGCACGTCTCATGTACATAGAGATGGGCGGTGGGTAAATACCCGGGTGGGAAAAAATGGGTAAATTGGGTATTTACCTTTTTTACCCGTTTTTACCGGGTATTTACCCAAAAGCATGGGTAAGAACTATAAAATTATAGATTATTGTTATAAGGCGTTCTACTTCAATTTATTCCTTAAAATATGAAGTAATGTAAACCTACCTATAGATTTAGAATCTATATGTCACAGGAAAACCGCAAAAACGAAACCATTTAAACAGATAACGAATACGCTTTGATCGATCATCATTCTGCAAAACAAACGAACAAATTTGTCATTTCACTAGAATAAAGTTGTCAGTGGTGGATGCATGCGCGCATGCTATGACTTCATATTGTGTGGTGGTTTAAGTTCTCGTACGCCACCGTAGCTTGCACATAAGAGCACCCGCGACGTTTCGTAAGCTTGCGCCCGTCGCAGTAGCGGACAGTTTCACCGCAGTCAAGCCCCGCTCTTGTCTTCAGTTAATTGTTCTAGCTTAGTGTTTGTTGGGTCTTTACTCTTTATGGTTTTTTATGTGGGTCTTTAGTGCTTGTTGAGTCGTAAGGGTTTGTAGGTTGGGTCGTAATGGTTTGTTGGGTGAGTCGTTAGGGTTTGCTGGGTCGTAAGGATTTGTTGGGTGGGTCGTTAGTGTATGTTGGGTCATAAAGTTTTGCAAATTGGGCCATGGAAGTTTGTTGGGTGGATCGTTAGTGTATGTTGGGTCACAAAGGTTTGCAAATTGGGTCGTTGAAGTTTGCTGGGTCTTAAGGGCTTATAGGTTGGGTCGTTAGTGTTTGCTGCATCATGAGGAATTATAGGTCGATTCGTTGGTGTTTCTCGTGTCATGTGGGTTTGTTTGGTGGATCGTTAGGGTTTGCTAGGTTGGTCGCTAGGGTTTGCTGGCTCGTAAAGGTTTACTGGGTAAGTCGTTAGTGTTTGATGGGTCATTAAGAATTGAATATTGGGTCTTTGAGATTAGTTGGGTCATTACGACGACTATGATCCAAAATTCAGATAGCGTACTGGATAGTACCCTTGCCCGCCATGCCCAGATAGTGGGTTTGATCCACCCAGATACAAATATTTGTTAAGGTTTTTTAAGTATTTGTGTTGAGTCTGGGTGTTTGTTTCCTATGTATACATATGTATTTATTTACAAAATAGTATCATCATTGGCCTCATACGTCTGTGACAGACGATTTATACAGAGTCTGAGACAAGGTTTTTATCCGCGTGACGCGGGTGATGTATCCTCTCCACAGACACTGCGTTGCCTGGGACGCAATTATGGAAACGCAGGGCTGCCCAAGACCTGCGCCGCCCTCTTGGCCTTCCTGGCTGACTCCACAGGAACGACGGGTCGATACGTGCGGAGCCAGGTCGGCTGCAGGAGTCTGCCGCACGATTTATTTACCAGTCAGTCGCGCCTGACGGAGACCCCGTTCCGGGTTTGTGTGTGGAGTTTTCCTTCTCTAAGACCCTGATTCGCTTGGGTCGGATTTATCCCTCGGTCACCTCTTACGACCTCCACGGGAAGAGAAGGGGTGGTGCTATTCTACTCTTCCGGCACCAAACGGCATTCAAAATAGTATATCAGTATTAATATCAGTGATCTTGTTCCCATAGTGCTAGCTTTGCTTAGTTTGGGCCTAAATGACGCCTCGTTCAGGGATATTTATTATAATAAGGATTGTAGGTTGGTTCGTTAATATTTTTTGGGTCGTAAAGTTTGGTTGGGTGGTAAAACAAATACAAACGACCCACCTCTTACGATCCAACAAACACTAAAAACTTAAACCTCACCCAACAATCCCTAACGACCTTGAAAACACTACCGACCCATCCAGTAACCTGTTACGTATGACCCAACTAACCTTAACAACTCACACAAGTAACCCTTACTTCCCAGTAAACACTAACGACATCTTAACAAACCCTTGTGACCCAACAAACTCTTACGACCTAACAAATCTTTACGACCTAGCAAACACTAACGACCCACACAACAAACCCTACCGAACCAATATACACCAACGAGCCTACTTACAAACCCTAACGACCCAACAAACACTAACAACCAATCCAACAAACCCTTACGGCTCAATAAACCCTTACAATCCAACAAACTCTTACGACAAAACAAACACTTACGACCCAGAAAACACTAAAGACCCACACAACAAATCCTCGATCGATCGATCGATCTAACGACCCAACAAACACTAACGACCCAGCCAACAAACCCTTACAACCCAACAAACCCTTTCGACCCAAAAAAACACGAACGAACCGCCTAACCAACCCTAACGACCCAATCAACCCTTATAACTCACCCAAACAACCCATACTACCCAGCAAACACTAACGACATCTTAACAAACCCTTACGACCAAACAAACACCAACGGCACAACTTACAAACCCTACCGACCCAACAAACACTAACGACCCATCCAACAAACCCTTACGCTCAAACAAACCCACGGCCCAACAAACCCTTACGACCCAATAAACCCTTACGACCCAACAAACTCTTACAACCCAACAAACCCTTACGACTTAGAAAACACTAACGACCCAACAAACACTTACGACCCATCCAACAAACTCATACAACCCAAAAAACCCTTTCGACCCTAGCAAACACTAACGAATCGCCTAACAAACCCTAACGAACCAAAAAATATAAACGAGCCACCAAACAAAGCCTTACGTCTCGAATACAACCACAACCCCAACTACAAACCCTTACGATCCAACAAATACTAACGACCCACCCAACAAACCCTTACAAGCCAGCAAACACTCACGACCTACTCAAGAAATCCTTACGACTCAAGAAACCCTTACAACCCAACAAACCCTTACGACCCAACAAACCCTTAAGGCACACTAAACACTAACGACCCACCCAGCATATCCTTACGAGCCAACAAACACTCACGACCCACTCAAGAAACCCTGATGAGCCAACAAACCTTTACGACCCAAGAAATCCTAACGACCCACCCAACAAACCCTTACGACCCAAAAAACATGTACCTACGACCCGCCCAACAAACACAAACGAACCAACGTACAAATACTTACGGCCCACCATGTGAAAATCGTTCAGTTTCTTGGTCTGAGCACTGTGACCGCGCATTCACAATGAGAAGACTTTGGCCGGGGAATTATCGGAAATCCCTTTTATACACGAGGAAAAGAACGAGAGATCCGTGTATCCGATCCGTGATCCGGACAAAAAAGTCTCATCTATGAACATGGTCTAAGTAATGCACGACAATACTGGTATAAAAGCAATAAACGAATGACGATATCTTTCAAACTTAATCGTAAAATACGTAAAACAAATTGTTCTTTACATTGCACGAGTACATATTAAGTGTTCTAGTAACCTAGTACGAATTCTTTTGCAAAACACGTACCTTAAAGGCTGTAATAGATATGAAACTTATATACGGGTATTTACCCGGGTAAAAACTAATTTGGGTAGGAAAAAACGGGTAAGAATGGGTATATACCCAAATCTGGGTATTTACCCGGGTAGAATCCCATCTCTGCATGTACATGGAGCTAGGAGGTCTCGACTTTATTTACCCTCATGCTGATCGACTGTAAGCAGCCTCTTGCGTTTGGGCGTCTTCATGAAGAGCGGGAAGACGGTGCGCAGGCCGAGGATGTCCACGAACTTGTTACAGTTGTCGCGTCCGTCGGGCCCGGCCAGCGCGTGGTCAAGCACTTTCAGGGAGCCGTTGCGAGACATTTTCTTCTCGCTGAAAACAAACAGAATATTTTTATGAATAAATAGCAAATTTTCCCCAAAATTGTATAACTTGCAACATCATAAAAACTGGCCATGTTTGAACCAGATTCTCGCACGAAAGGTACCGTACTATATTCCATAAAATGGCAATGATTACGTTTGTGGTATGGGAGCCTATAATTTACCATTTTAATTTTTGTTAATTGCGCAAGCAGAAATTCAGCTAGTATTTTGGTTTATTTAATACAACCTGTAGCCTATGCACCAAAACAGGCTACAATTCTACAAGTGAAATTCGATTTACATTGCGTAGTCGGTTTCATAAAATCGGTCACTGGTATCAAACAGGCAGAAGCTGAGTCCCGAACAGTCCGGAATAGAGTCCCGTTTTGACCCTTTAGCTACAGAACCCTGAAAATGTTTACATTGGATAGTATTATTAGTATTACCGCAGCATGAGGTTCATGAGCTGCAGCCCCTCTCCTCGCAGGAAGCGGTCGCGGTTGGCTGGCTCCATGAGCGCGCAGCACAGCGCGTCGAACATGTACATTGGATAGTGTATTACCGCAGCATGAGGTTCATGAGCTGCAGCCCCTCTCCTCTCAGGAAGCGGTCGCGGTTGGCTGGCTCCATGAGCGCGCAGCACAGCGCGTCGAACATGTTTTCCATCGCCTCTTGTTCCTCTGCGCCCGCCGGGTCGTGACGTTTGTAGAACTGTAGCGGAAATTTCATAATTACCAAACGATTAGTTCATGCTAATTGTCCGCGTGGACCCTCAATGCGCAAACCCGCAAATTTTATCGAATCCATTCAGTAACAGTTCACCGAAACAGCATGAAGTAAAGTGAACTTCGCACGCGGATTATCCGAGAACGAACCGCGCGATGCAGCGAACGCACTATACTCTTATGGTTTTAAGGTTGTTTGTTAACTCTGCTATTTAGTCCCAAGAGAAGATTGATATGGCATATAACGAGATGTAAAATCATTAGCCTATTTTAGCACTACAAGATTGAGGTATTCTGGGCACAACTAGTAGATAATTTTAATATCTATACTTACCGCTAA